CAAAAAGAGCGTTGGGTATAAGAATCAATGAACACAGAGCGGACGCGAGAAACAAAAAGATGACAACAGCACTGGCTCAACACTTAACAACGCACGAACATATAGCGGACTTCGGCAACACAGAAATTTGGACATCGAAAGAGGAGAAAGAAGGAGAATGACACTGGAGAGCCTACGAATACAACAACAATTGGACAACGCAATCAACTTTAAGGAAGACGTCGACAACATGAAGAACACATATGCAGCCGTACTAAAACTAAAATATAAATAAGAATACTTCAATAATTCTTCCTAAATGTTGTATTACCTTCAATGTGTGCAAATTAATGTAAAATTCTTGTCAATATTTAATGTGAGTTTCAAGTGATATTATGTGTGTAGATAATTAGTGTCAAGTATACATGTACATATGTAACTATGGTTTTGTATATATGTATGTATGCAACTATTATTATGTTTTTGTTAATCATGGCTTTCGTTCGTTCTTCATGTTTATTTTTTATCGTTTAAATAAAACAGACTCCCTGAAGATGACACGAGAGTGTCGAAACGCGTAGGAGGGACAAGGGAAAAATATAAGCATTTCGCCTTTTACTCCATCGGCCGAAGCAGCTCCAACCCAGCAAACAAAATTCATTGGAATTTGGCCCATACAAAGACAATTATTACCATCGGTGAGCAAACCCGAGAAAACAACTAAAAAGGTAAACAAAAAAAGTAAACATGAAGCAATTTTACCAACATATAAGACTTAAATACAACGACGAGACATGCTACATAATAAAGCAATACAACAAAAACATGAAAAAATTGACAAAACTAAAGGAGAGGTTAAAGTTCCTACTAAGTTGTAAGGACTACGGTATCATTCCGCCCCACTTACAGGGTAAATGTAGAAAATTCTCACATTGTTTCAAACTAGACACAACCCGACGTGAACTTATTAAACTAGAACAATGCTTTCTGCTCAAAATCCTCAATTTAGGAATTAAGGAAACAAATATTAATATAAAAATAGTCACAACCAACATTAAACATGGGGAAAATTTACTGAAAATCAGACTTATGAAAGTAGAATACAAGAAAATAATAGAAAATCAGAAACAATTTTCTAATAAAGTTTCAATAGACACGCAGAAACTACATGAGAAAAAATTAGATGAGCAAATATCAAAAAATATAACAAAATTTGGCATAAGATTTAATGAGGATTGGTTTATAAATAAAACAGATATTCCCATGCCTAAGTATTCCCGTTGGCTACTGTCACTTGGAGGCAAATTCGTATTGCCGGTGTCTAAGAAAACATGTTCCCCGATTCCCATAATTGCCGACTTAGAGCAAGGCATACAAGATATTACTGACGAAAGGGAAAAAGATGCAACAAGAAGCAATATCTCTGCAAGAATCAATACATTCTATGACAGATTAAGTAACAATACGAAAGAAAAATTTATATTGAAAACGTATGCAGACACCAGAAAATTTATAGGTCAACACAAGGAAGAAATAATAATAACACAAGCAGATAAAGGAAATAAAACGGTAATGATCTACAAAAAGGATTACGAAGATAGAATGAGGGAATTACTGAATGACAAAACAACATACAAAACCATAAGAAGTGATCCTACCCAACAATTATTGAGGAAAAACAACAATATAGTAAACGACTTATTCAAGCAGAAAAAAATTGACGTAAAACAAAAATTCCACTTGACATGCACAGCAGCTAATGCTCCTAGATTATACGGACTACCCAAAATTCATAAAACCGGTACACCTGTCCGACCAATATCCTCGTCTACAAATGTTCCCTGCTACAAATTATAGAAGTTTATTGGCAACATTTTAAAAAACATAATCTCTGACGAATATAATATAAGGAATTCCTATCAACTGAAGGAAAATCTAAAAAATATTACTATTGAAGAAGATGAAATTTTAATATCATTCGATGTCATATCACTATTTACGAATATCCCGATACATTTAGCCATACAGACAATTATGAAGAATTGGAAAAAATTAGAGAATTTTACAAACATTACACGAAAAGAATTTCATACCATACTCGAGTTTTGCTAACGGGATAACAATTACTTCAAATACAATACCACCCTTTATCAACAAATTTATGGCATGCCAATGGGTAACCCCTACCATAGCGGACATCGTACTTGACAAAATATTGGACGACAGCATAGCTGAACTTAAACAACACGACATACATACAAAATACATAAATAAATATGTAGACGATATGTTTGCAATAATTAAAGCAAAAGACGCGGAAGACATACTAAAAATATTAAATGCACAACATACAAAAATACAATTTACAGTCGAAAGGGAAAAAAACAAGAAAATTTCCTTCCTAGATGTAGAAGTGCATAAAAAGAGAAACCGAATTCTGCTGAACTGGTATGCAAAATCCATTGCATCGGGGAGATTGATAAATTTTCATTCCAATCACCCATGGAAACAAAAAATAAACACCGCTGCTAGTCTTATTAGAAAAGTCCATCTGCTCAGCGACGAAGAATTTACAGAGCAAAACAAACAGGAAAATAAAAAACATATTGCACAAAAACAGATACCCGCACGCGTTAATAGAAAGATTATTACAAACAACAATAAACCAAATTCGCCAACCAAGCCAAAACACCGAAGTACAGCCAAACAACACTAACAAAAAATACATTGGGGTGACATACATACCAGGACTTACAAATAACCAAGTACTCCGAAAAACAATAAAAAATGAGAATGTGATATATGCACACAAGCCCCATAACACAATCAACAAATTGTTGACGAAAACCAAAGACAAGATCGAAAAGGAGCAACAACACAATGTAGTGTACCAAATAAAGTGCAAGGGCAATGATAACGAAAGCTGCAATAAATGCTACGTAGGCACAACAAAAAGAGCGTTGGGTATAAGAATCAATGAACACAGAGCGGACGCGAGAAACAAAAAGATGACAACAGCACTGGCTCAACACTTAACAACGCACGAACATATAGCGGACTTCGGCAACACAGAAATTTTGGACAACGAAAGAGGAGAAAAAAGGAGAATGACACTGGAGAGCCTACGAATACAACAACAATTGGAAAACGCAATCAACTTTAAGGAAGACGTCGACAACACGAAGAACACATATGCAGCCGTACTAAAATTAAAATATAAATAAGAATACTTCAATAATTCTTCCCAAATGTTGCATTACCTTCATTGTGTGCAAATTAATGTAAAATTCTTGTCAATATTTAATGTGAGTTTCAAGTGATATTATGTGTGTAGATAATTAGTGTCAAGTATACATGTACATATGTAACTATTGTTTTGTATATATGTATGTATGTATGCAACTATTATTATGTTTTTTTTAATCATGGTTTTCGTTCGTTCTTCATGTTTATTGTTTATCGTTTAAATAAAACAGACTCCCTGAAGATGACACGATAGTGTCGAAACGCGTAGGAGGGACAAGGGAAAAATATAAGCATTTCGCCTTTTACTCCATCGGCCGAAGCAGCTCCAACCCAGCAAACAAAATTCATTGGAATTTGGCCCATACAAAGACAAAGACGAAATTTTTTTGTTTGTTGTTTACAAAAAAAGACTTGCCAAGTATATAAGTCAAAATTGTTAAATATGTATTTGCTTTCATTCATTTTTTCATAGAGTTGGTGCTTCTTTTATGGGAAAATTCATACGGCTTATGAACAGATTCATACCATGTAAATGCACCATTACACAAAAAATTTCAACCTTTCAATTGCATTGAAAAATGTTAAAAAATTACCCAACAAATATTGGGTCGAAAATTATCTTCGATAATCAATATGAATGTCGCGTCAATGAACACTACGCTAACTTAAAAACTGTCCTAACTCAAACAACGCAAATAGCTCGGTCAAGTTAGACATTCAAGGTTACAATAATCCGCATAAATCTCAAAATTGGTACGAGTGTTATGAACACCATTATCAATGAAATGTCAAAAATCTCCATCGATCCTACGTCTACAAAAAAAAAAAAAATATTCAAGGTCAAAGGTCACATTAATTGATTTTGTAGATCATGCAATTGTTTATAAAAAACTATTATAACACTATTCTTCCTAAGAATTACCATTTATGAGATATGGCAATTCAAAAGTTGTATTCTCCATAATATGCACAATTTACACTGTACTTGTGGGGTAATGTATTTGGCGCGTTTTTTTATCGTGGCTTCCCCGGTAGGCCTACTCTACTACTTAGTGTAGTCCTGTTTACCTAAACAAGATTGCATGGCATAAAATAGTACCATTGGAAGTGATAAATTAAAAAAATTAGATAAAACTATTCATCTAATTAATAATTACACAAGTTTACAAGAAATCTCTCCTATGGCACACCATCACTTCTCATGTAAAATATTCCGCTGAATCTGAATATATAGTCAAACTACAATAAACTGCAAAAGTTTTTGAGATATAGCCAAATTTTATAGATGTGAAAAAGTGCACTCACTTAACTGCATATTTTTTATTATATAGCTGGCGGATCTCAAATTTCTTTGTACAGTATTGAAGCACATTCAATTCACTATCTTCTGCATAAACGACATTTTCTAAACGGATTATGTAGTAGCTTAGGAGCTAATCATTGTTTCATCGACAGTTTCGCATAATTGTAAACTAATAGTAAAAGAAAAGTTACTTTCGGTAAAAATATCAACATGAAAGAACCTGTTAACTTTTAGGTTCTTGCACGTCAACGTACGGTCCTTCATTAATATAATAAGGAACTGCCCATCTAGATTGAATAATAAATCTAGAAGTTTGAGCACTTAAGTAGAGATACAAAGAGTTTCTATAAAAATTTATGATTTGCATATTATGGGGTACAAACCTTTTACTACAATTTTGAATCGAAATGGTAATCCTTAGGAAAAAAAATGTTACAACAGTTTTTATAGATATTAGTATGATCTACACTTTCGTCTCAGCTATTTTTATGGTAAAACTGACGGTTTGGCCAAAAAATGCAAAAAATCTATTTATTTAACCTTAAATAAATTTTTTTGCAGACGTGGTATCGATGGGGACTTTTGACATTCCATTCATAATAGTGTTCGCAACATTCGTACTAATTTTCAGCTTTGTGGTAGTTATTGTAAGCTCACCCCTACTTTTTGAGCTGACTTGACTGGACATGCCTTAATCGACTTCTCTTTTCATTCTGAGCATTTATTAATACATTTGTCTATATATATCACGATTTGTTTTGGCAGTAACAAACAACCGTTATGCGAACAAAGTTATAATACCCTTGTGCACAAGTGCGCTCGGGTAAAAAATAATTGGATTAATTGGCTTGTTATGCAACATTACATACACATGTATGTACATACATATGTATGTGTAAAAATATATATATATATATTTATTTATTTATTTCAAAAGTCAATAAACTACAAAGGTTCTTACTGACTAAAACGATACAGAGAACTAAAGTGCAGAAGGCACTAAAATAAAATTGAATTCAATAAACTATAAAATATATTCTTGGGCAAAGAAAAATCTAGCAAAATAGAATTCGAAATCTCGTTGAGTTCTCGAAGTGCACGCACTAACGGGGCGTTTCTTGCGTAATTCGTACTGAGGGCCTTGAGGTAAAAGGGAAGATTAAAACGAAGTGTTCTCGCAGGAATAAGAAATTGAATAGCAAGCAGTAATGCGGGGCAATCGATTTCACCACTTACCAAGCCACGCACAAAAGACAAGGAAAGAATAGTCCTTCTGCTTTCGAGGGACTTAATCAAAAGGAGGCGGGAATTGTACGGAGGGATGGGAGTGGAGAAATTGAGGGAAGAAAGTGCATATTTAAGGAAAACTTTTTGAATACGCTCAATTCTATCGATGGCAAATTTATGATGAGGTCTCCAGATGAGTGCTGCATATTCAAGCTTTGGACGATGTGGTTATTGAATAAAAAAGACGCATCGAAAATTACACCATATATACATACATATATCACATGATACTACGTTTTTTCTTGTATTTCGAGTGTATTTTATACTGCATTTTGAAAGAGAGGGAAGGTTATATACGATTTCAGAACTTGTGTAAGGAAGTAAGCTATATACCAAAAAATAAACGAAAAACTGACGAAAAACAAGCTATGTTGTTAAAAACAGTCCGGCCAACTTGTATTTCGTTAGGTTTTTTGACAGATGGCTGTATTTCGTTCGTTTTTCTTACACTGCTGTTAGCATTTTGCCAGACGAGTTATTTTGCTTAGCATAAACAAAATGGAAATACAATTAAAAAATATAGGAAAAAAACGTAGTATCAGACGGGCATAAGCAAGAAATGTTTAGGTACATAAAATTTCATTTCATTTTGTACTAAAATACACTCTTTTGCACTCAGTGCATATGAACTTATATGCTAGGTATTTACATATGTACAGACATATAGTGGTCCACAAAATAAAAGAAGAGTCTGACATTTGGCATTTGTCTTTTGTTTATTTAATGTTTATTATTAAAAGTCTAGCTGGTATACAACAAACACCATATAAATTCAGATTTCAAACTTTGTACAAAAATTAGAAAATTAGACTTATTTTCACGAAAATTTCAAACATTATAATCAGAATTTTGGTATGCAGTTTTGTAAGCCATTTAATTCTAGTATAATGAAGTGTAGATTTCAAGCTGCTATAAATTCTCGTTATTTTTAACAATTTTTTTTTACTGGCAATGTTCTGCATATAAAAGAAAATTGTCGAAAATACTTTTGTAAAAACGTGAAACACCTTCAACCAAAAAAATAATTTTATATAATAAACCATATGTCTGTCAGGGCTAAAAGAGCATGATTCAATAATTAAAGGTTTGCTCACTAGCAGTGTTCCAGTTGATCCTTTTTGACGCTAGATCTAGCTTTCTTCTTTGTCGTTTAGCTTCGAAATTTAGGATTTAGCTTCGTGGCTTTTTTCTAGCCCTTTCTTATTTTTAAACTAGCATTTTTTAAGGACAATTCTTCACAATATTTGCAGTAGCACTAAATTAATGTTCCGGTTCAAATTTACTTGACGAAATGTTAAGAGAATATCACCCGGCGGCATCGCTCCGTCTGACGAAATTTACTCAGCGAATTCGTCTTCTTTATACTTAACAGTTTTTTCAGGGGCTCTCAAGTGTACCTGTAAAACCAGGAAATGCATGTTATTTCGTAGAACTCCGCAACCCACGAGAATGACGTCAAGCCCTACATCGTGAGGGATAAAGGTAATTAGTCGCCGCTGCAATGCACCTTCATTGCCTCTGCTATTGCGTCACATTCTGCCCACAATTTTTCGATGCTTTGTAGCATAGCTAGCCTCCACGAGTGACTCAGACGTGCAATTCTCGCCAGATATGTTGCGAAGTTTACGTCTGGTACTGTCAAATCGCATACACTAAAAAATATATCTTCTATTAAACTGGATTTACATGAGAGGAATTTCTAGGTGATTCTAGGTGTAATGGTGATTCAAAAATCGCTTGCCTCAAAGTAGACAGCAACCCTGCCAGCTAAAAGTAGTGAAAAACCTGGTGAAACCGAGGGTTTCATTCACTTCAAAACTAGTGAAAAATCTGGTGAGTTTTGAATAGGCGGTGTGCAGATTTTCACCAGTTTCCCCCTGTACGTGTGAGCCTTGCATCACTGTCGCACTCATTCAGATACTTCGTAAGGAAAACATATAGCTGCACTCGTCTAGCATTGCCCCCTTCAGCCGGCGCAGGGTTGCATTTTCTTCACAGCGAATTCAAAATAACCCTTAGAAACTTGAAATAAAAAATTTTAAAATCTTTTTGATTATTTTGCAAAATTTATTTTTCAAAATGCATTCTTAACCTAATATACATACATAGTTAGAAATCAATATTATGAATAAAAATTAAAATTAACATTAATAATAAATTGATTACACTGTGAGACAAACGGTAGGGGTCAGTGATCGGGAAGGGTTCAAACTACCGGGGAATGTTATATCGGTAAAAAAGAAGTTATACGTGTCCCGGCGTTTCGCTGGGTCACGTCTAGGAATCGAGATATATCGACTTGAAGTTAGTAACTATCATATAGGGGAAATTGTCACCTTTGGTGGTCTTTTTTTTTTGACATAACTCGAGAACCACTAGTCCGATTTTGCTCAAACAAATTTAAAAAAATTACAATTCCTTTAATCTGTTCATATAACGTTTTTCTATATAGTCAACAGTTTTGCCGGTAAAAATAAATGTATTAAGAAAAAAAATATTTTTTGCCTAAAATATTAAATTTTTTTATTTTTTAAATTCATAAAAAATCCAAAACGGAAAAAAGGCAAGTCGTATTACTTTCACGCAAAGTCACATAACCTTTAAGCAAAATGAGACATAGATCATGAAAATCGATGGACGCGTTTCGCTTTTATTCACAATTAAGTGAAGGTATCTCATTTTGACAAGAATATTGATTGTCAATTTCCCCTATATGATAGTTACTAACTTCAAATCGATATATCTCGATTCCTAGACGTGACCCAGCGAAACGCCGGGACACGTATAACTTCTTTTTTACCGATATAACATTTCCCGTTGGTTTCATCCCATCCCGATATTGACTGTCCCATAGTGGTATTATTACTACTACTCCCTTGTATAGAGCTGTTTTCAAAAGTTGCAAAATTTCTATAAAAAAGTTTGGCGATTTTAACAATAATATAATCAAAAGAAAGGTAATCGATTCACCTTTTTTCTTGATATTTATTAACATTTGCAAATCATTTACACTAGTTCACAAAAAATCAGTTTTGTTACAACTTTGCAAAATTTGACGACTTTTTCACTTCTTTCATATAGATCTTTTCAAAAGTTGCAAAATTTCTATAAATTAGTTAATTGATTTTAACAATATTATAATCAAAAGAAAGGTAATAGATTTACCTTTTTTTGATATATATTAACAGTTGCAAATCATATATACTAGTTTACAAAATTTCAGTTTAGTTACAACTTTGCAAATTTGACGACTTTTTCACTTCTTACATATAGATGGTTTCGAAACTTGCAAAATTTCTGTAAAATGGTTAATCAATTTTAACAATTTTATCATCAAAAGAATGATAATCGATTTACCTTTCTTTTGATATATATTAGTAGTTATAAAATATTTTAAGTGGTTTACAAAAATTCACTTTTCTTATAACTTTGCAAAATTTGACCACTTTTTCACTGCTTACATATAGCTGTTTACAAAAGTTGCAAAATTTTTATGAAAACGTGAAGCGATTTTAACGGTGTTATAATCAGGTGATCGGTTTACCTTTCTTTTGATGTATATTAGTAGAAAAAAATATTTTAAGTGGTTTACAAAAATTCACTTTTCTTACAACTTTGCAAAATTTGACCAGTTTTTCACTGCTTACATATAGCTGTTTACAAAAGTTGCAAAATTTTTATGAAAACGTGAAGCGATTTTAACGGTGTTATAATCAGGTGATCGGTTTACCTTTCTTTTGATGTATATTAGTAGAAAAAAATATTTTAAGTGGTTTACAAAAATTCACTTTTCTTACAACTTTGCAAAATTTGACCAGTTTTTCACTGCTTACATATAGCTGTTTACAAAAGTTTCAAAATATATAACGGCGTTATAATCAAAAGAAAGGTAATCGGTTTACCTTTCTTTTGATATATATTAACAGTTGCAACTCTTTTATGGTGGTTCACAAAAATTAAGTTTTCTTACAACTTTGCAAAATTTGACCAGTTTTTCACTGCTTACATATAGCTGTTTACAAAAGTTGCAAAATTTATAACGGCGTTATAATCAAAAGAAAGGTAATCGGTTTAACTTTCTTTTGATATATATTAACAGTTGCAAATCATTTATGGTGGTTCACAAAAATTAACATTTCTTACAACTTTGCAAAATTTGACAAGTTTGAACTACACTTTGAAGGTGCTCCTGGCGTTGAAGGTGCTGAGGGCGTAAGGTACTGATGGTGCTCCTGGCGATGAAGGAGCTGAGGGCAGAAGGTACTGGTGGTGCTCCTGGCGATGAGGAAGCTGAGGGCAGAAGGTTCTGATGGTGCTCCTGGCGATGAAGATGCAAGCGTTGAAGGTGCTGATGGTGAATCCCAAATCTGTAAACAAACAAAAATATCAATTAAAACTTATAAACATATAAAAAGTCTCAATATATACCTTAATAATGTAACTAAGTCGCTGCTGTTTTGCTATCTAAAAGAAGAAATTACATTATAATCAAATAAAATTGTTAAATACGTATTCTTACCTTTAAAATTTTCGCGAAGTGACATTTCTTCACAGTATGTANTACAAAAGTTGCAAAATTTTTATGAAAACGTGAAGCGATTTTAACGGTGTTATAATCAGGTGATCGGTTTACCTTTCTTTTGATGTATATTAGTAGAAAAAAATATTTTAAGTGGTTTACAAAAATTCACTTTTCTTACAACTTTGCAAAATTTGACCAGTTTTTCACTGCTTACATATAGCTGTTTACAAAAGTTTCAAAATATATAACGGCGTTATAATCAAAAGAAAGGTAATCGGTTTACCTTTCTTTTGATATATATTAACAGTTGCAACTCTTTTATGGTGGTTCACAAAAATTAAGTTTTCTTACAACTTTGCAAAATTTGACCAGTTTTTCACTGCTTACATATAGCTGTTTACAAAAGTTGCAAAATTTATAACGGCGTTATAATCAAAAGAAAGGTAATCGGTTTAACTTTCTTTTGATATATATTAACAGTTGCAAATCATTTATGGTGGTTCACAAAAATTAACATTTCTTACAACTTTGCAAAATTTGACAAGTTTGAACTACACTTTGAAGGTGCTCCTGGCGTTGAAGGTGCTGAGGGCGTAAGGTACTGATGGTGCTCCTGGCGATGAAGGAGCTGAGGGCAGAAGGTACTGGTGGTGCTCCTGGCGATGAGGAAGCTGAGGGCAGAAGGTTCTGATGGTGCTCCTGGCGATGAAGATGCAAGCGTTGAAGGTGCTGATGGTGAATCCCAAATCTGTAAACAAACAAAAATATCAATTAAAACTTATAAACATATAAAAAGTCTCAATATATACCTTAATAATGTAACTAAGTCGCTGCTGTTTTGCTATCTAAAAGAAGAAATTACATTATAATCAAATAAAATTGTTAAATACGTATTCTTACCTTTAAAATTTTCGCGAAGTGACATTTCTTCACAGTATGTAACTGTCATCAAAACTCCGATGTTTCTAACTTGCTTGCTCTAACGCATAGAATTCTTATTAGAGTACGAATTCTTTTCGGGTATGTAGCTCTAACAAAGGGACATTTTTTTGACAGTTCGAACAAAAAATTTGTAAGTGTGTGGGTGAGATGACTAAAAAGTTGTGAATGGGTTTGTAAATCGTTTGAATTTCAGGGGAAAGTGTTGAGCCGAGGCTGGCAGGGAAGTCAACTTTTGCAGGCGATTATCGTCTCCTCCGCAGTAGTCGCATATGGGTTCCGGCCAGCGCTACCGTTTGCTAATTTTCGGGCGAAGTGCAAACACATTAAGTGCCGGTTACTCAATGTCTGGTTAACACTAATCTGCGGTTAAACATCGTTATAGACGTCTTCGACTCCATGCATATAACAGGGAGTCGGTAACGTCGATAACTATGTTTACCCGGAGATTAGTGTTAACCAGACATTGAGTAACCGGCCCTAAAAGTGAAGTGTTTCGGAATGACTTAAGAGGAAAAGTGAAGTGATTATCAAAGTCATGACGACTTTCAACCACTATTAGGGGTGTGGAGTTTTTCGATTAGGTTATTTATAACTTGATTGGTTAATCGATAATTTTTTTATCACTGTAAAGGTAATCTGTACCCCTTATTAATTTATAATTTATTGTGTTCCTGTGTAAATTTAGTGCTGGAATATCTTTAAAATCACACGCCTCAAACGTTGAGGAAAGAAAATCAAAAATTAAAACTCACTGATGATATTAACACTAAAATATTATTAATCGATTATCGATTCACAGCAACAAAGTCATTACCAGATACATAGCAACAACGTCATCACGAGATTCACTTAAATGTTTAATTTTTGCTACAAAATTGAAGATGTATCGAAACTAAAATATAATAGTTATTTTCGTCAAATATTTACTAAATAATTATGAAACTTTATCCACGCATTCATTTCTGGGCGCTTTACAACTATTCATGTGAAAATGAAAATCAAATGACTTCTTCTAAATAATCGATGCCAGATCAGAGATTTATTAGGCGTCTTTTTAGTAGCTTTTTGCGAAAACTTACTTTGCCACTCCTTCTACTTAACAAGAATTTTAGCAAAAGATTGTTGATTTTGATGAAATAAATCATATATTTCAAAAAAATTCTTGTTTAATTTGGAGATAAATCTAATTTGTGGAAAGTGAAGTAAAATGAAGTGATGAAGTGAAGGCTTCCAAAGTGAAGTGAAAAACTTCAACTGGAATGACAGCGGCGCAGCACTGGTTCCGGTTCGTGTTTGAATCGGTGAAGGTATGCTTTGAAGCACCCGTGTCTAGTTAAATAGTTTGTCAAATATTTGCGTGTATATCGACTGCTGAGTGTAAGATCGACTTATCTCGGCAGCCAGTTCGAAAACGCCCGATCTCAAAAAACTTTTCAAGAACGCCCTATTTTAGAATTTTATTGAAAAACACCCTATCTTTGGTTGAAGAACGCCCTATCTCAAAATGCGGTTCAAAAGCGCCCTATCTCACTTCAAAAAGTATTGAAAATGTGCTGATATAGGGCGTTTTTGAAACGTATTCTGAAATAGGGCGTTCTTGAAAAGTTTTTTGAGATAGAGCGTTTTCGAGCTGGCTGCCGTGATAGGTCGATCTTCCACTCAGCAGTCGATATACGCTTTGCTCTTTACAATGCGCGGTTCAATTGAAACTTTCACGATTGTAATCGTGTTGTAATGTCTGAACATATTTGGTGGTACAAATGTACCACTATTTTGTCTTTAAGGACTGTGGGTTTTCAGACCCTAAAAAAGAGCCCCTTTTATAAGACAATGGTTTTTTTAAACGGTATGCGGTTCAAAAATGTTTGCACCAGGCTTTCATGAAATTTCATGATCGTAAGTACTTTGGTTGTTGAGATATTTACTTTTTTGTACTTTTGTACATTTGTACTACCTCTTTGTACATAAGAATTAATGAAATGTTGAAAAGGCTGGGATTTTTAACACTTTTTTTTGGGCTATTTAGCTTTTATAGCTTTTTTTTAGCTTATTTGGCCGATCAAGCTTTTTTATTTTTTTAAGTCCTGGCAACACTGCTTGCAAGTAACGTACGTTTTTTCGCGCTTTTTCAGCTTTCATTTTCATGTTCACTCTTTATTACCACCAATAAATATTATGGCGCATATTCATAGTCATATTTAGTACTCAACTAAGTCGAAACTATTCTAAGTCACAACTAAAGCTATTCATAGTCGCCTTAGTTTCGACTTTTCTGGCTAAGTACCAACTTAAAATTTAGTTTCGGCTGCAGTTGCAACTAAGTCGTAACTAGGAAGAAGTATTTTATCAAATTAAGGGAAAACAGACGAAATATGTAAAAATTAAGTTGGTAGAGGGTGATTTTGATAATATTGAATAATCTCCAATTAAAATTTACAAAGATCGATCCATTTTATTCGGAAGATCAAATTAAATGCGTATTACAATTCGAATAAAGCTAAATCACAAATTTATAATTGGAATAATTTAGATAAATTCTCAAATAATAAGTCAGTTTCACGCAGGGTGGGCAAAAACTCGGAGTTCGAGCGAGCGCGCGAGCAAACTCCTACTCAATGCCTCGCAGACAACGAGGCGCTCGGAGCTCGTACTCGTAGCAGCAATGAGGCGAGGCACGAGAAGTTTGGCTCGCTCGCCAAACGAGCGAGCGCTGCTTGTTTCCTCGCGCTCCTATTAAACGAGCGAGGCTGTTGTGTGTTGCCTCGCTCGCAGTGCGAGGCGAGTAACTGTCTGCATACTCACTCTGCTAGGAAAGACGAGTGAGCGACGAGCGAGCGCTCCGAGTGTACTATACAACACATGCATTTTTGTGCATAAAAATGTGGGAATGTATGTCAATAGATTATGTACGAAAGTATGTTAATAATTGTATGTATATATGCATATATATATGTAAAGTATTATATTAGGGCAGAATTTAAAACAACAAATAAAATTGATTACATACATAAGCATAGATTATGGAATGAATTATTTTTTAGAGTCATATTCATACATGTGTACACACATAACATGCATTTTTATATATGTTTGTATGTACGTATTTATGTATATATGCATTTATGTATGTATGCACATATGCATGTATTTTGTCTTTACAGAGAAAAGTGAGTAACGAAGATATTATAATCGTTTGTGCCGCAGAAACAAAAAACAAGTAAGCACAAAATAGTTTGCTACTTGTAGCAGTTATGCTGTATACCTGATGAATGAAATATAATCCTTGGTGAAACATTTATTTGTGGCCTGTTGTTGAAGGACATATGTATATATGTATGTACATATGTATGGACATGTAGACATGGGAAAATTTGCGTAAACAAAGAATAGAGACCGGTTTGCATACAAGTTTGGCGTTGCGTTGGCGTCGAATTTCAAAGCAGCCGTCCACATATCCAAAATTTGGCAACGCTAAGACCAACACAAAGTAGAAAGATCGCTGCGTCGGTCGCCAGCTGTTGCAAATAAATAAAATGAAATGAAATGTTTTTTTCCTTTTAATCAAATGAAGGCAAGAAATATTATTTTTCATGCAATTATTGATATGAAATATTAATTTATCTCTCGTTAATATGTTAATTTAGTGGCCAAAGTAGTCTCTGCCAAGCTTCATTGTAGAACGCATACTTTTAACTTGCGTTCTGTCAAACCAACGCCAACTACAAAGTCAACGCGAAATGTGGACCAGCCTTAATTATCAAATAGTAGTTTGTATTATCCTACATACATACATATGTATGGGGGCTAAACCAGGAATATTTAAATTCATTCCGCATAAAAAAGAACCGCATAAAAAGAGACCTAATTTTATAAGTTGAAATTTTATAAGAAATTATTGAACATTAAAAACATTGTACCTACATAGATATGTATGCACATATGTGCCTACCTAGTAGATAAAACTGGTCAAAACAGCACGAGTCTATTCTTCTGTGCATGAGAATATATACATAAATAAATACAAACATATGTGTATATACATATGTATGTATATACATATCTGCATGCGTGCATACAATCCTTTACCCGAAATTCTTAGTTGCTGCAATTTTTATCCCATACATTTCTGCCGACCAAACAACGCGTTTGCCTGTCTAATCTGCTTGCCTCATTTTCCTCGCTCGTTTACTCGCCTCGCTCGTCTGCTGCTGCAAATGAGTGCCCCGCTCGCAACGACGCCCTCGCGAGGACAGAGCTAATGAGGACCTCGTTTGCTTGCCGCTCCACTCTTGCGCTGCCCTCGTTTGCTTACTCGCTCGCTGGCTGCTCAGCGCGTGCGCTCGAACTTAACAAGTGCTCATTTGCAAACAGCCTCGCGTGTTGTTCGTGAGTTGCGCTATCTCAGAGCAAACTAACGAGCGAGCGAGGGGCTAAAATGAGGCAAATCCGAGCCCTGGTTTCACGCTTGTTATTTTAAAGTAAATTTGTGCATAACATTTAGATATCTACTATTTGTATGTTTCACAGCATGCTTTCGATAAACATCGACTTCACATCACTGCGGTTGTTCTGGCTATTTCACACAATTAACAAGAAAATGATACCTTATTCTTTTGCATAATCATGCAATGAAAATAAAAATTACATAAACGGATGATCAAACTTGACATTATTTAATAAAAATGTAATTTTTCCAAAATATCGTAAAGAAAAATCGATACATTTTCACACTCGTTTTGCTATATCGTAAACTAAGTCGAAACTACTTAGTAGAAGTCTGAAATGCGACTATGAATAGAGGTAAATTTTAAGTTGGTACTTAAATTTAAGTTGCAACTTTGTTAGTTTCGACTTAGTTGCTGGACTATGAATACGCGCCTATGTGTTTACATGTTTATAAGCTGTCAAAATTTTGGTTACTCTTTAGTACGTTGTCGGTATATTTCGAGGTATTGCGTCCAAAGGGGTGACCTGATCCAAAAAAATCATTATTTTAACACCCACTTTTGTAATTTTTGATCACTAATTTATTTACAAATTGGGTTTGAAATATGCCCTTTTTTGTAAAATTCGGAAATTAGCGTACATTTATCACTCCTATCCTCCTTAAAGCAGCCACTTAACCAATATATTTTGGTATTCCCCTTCACTTTAGACTTTACTCGATTAGTTATAACTTTCTTTACGATTTTAATATTAACCAATTAAGCACAATTCATTAAATAAAAACACCTTCAAAATCACGCGTCTGACTTTAGTTGCATATGCAAATANCGCTATCTCAGAGCAAACTAACGAGCGAGCGAGGGGCTAAAATGAGGCAAATCCGAGCCCTGGTTTCACGCTTGTTATTTTAAAGTAAATTTGTGCATAACATTTAGATATCTACTATTTGTATGTTTCACAGCATGCTTTCGATAAACATCGACTTCA